GCTGGTGCTGGTTGTGGGAACAGGCGGGGGCAGGGGGGCCTCAGGCCAACTTCTCCAAACTTGATCCCATTCCCAGCACTCCATTGTTTTTAATCTCCTTTAAAGCGAGGGGGAAGGAAGGAAGATCTTCTCAAATCATGTTTTCCCAGCTGCTGGCAGAGCAACACCTAAAGCTGATATATTACTTTGTGGAGGGGGGAGAAGAGATTTTGTTATTTCTTTTCACTTTATAAACACTAAAAGGGCTCCTCCGGCTTGTTTCCACTTTGCTTACTCAGTGCTTCATGCATTTGACAGTTTTTGGTGCATAGGCAGTTTCTTCTATTGTTTGCAGGGATTTTTCCAGAGGGGAAACTTTTTAACATTACAAAACCACAGAAACTGGCAGGAGGAATCTCAGGGAGGTACTGGATTGGGAACAGTTTTAAGCTTTAAGGGAAAAACAGAAAGGAAAAAGAAAAGAATGAAAGCAACAAGATTAACCAAATCAGTTCGAGAGGAGCTGGGAACGTGGGTCCTTATTGCTGGGTGTGCACAGATGTCTCATGGTGGGAAGCAGTGTCCCTGGACTCAGAGGCTCCTGAAGCTGGATCTGCCCTGGCTTTCCTCGCTCCTGGTGCCTCTGTGGAGCCACCTCAGCAGTGTGGCAATGCCTCGCCACTCTTGCACCAGGATTTGGCCCCAGCCCTTGCCAGGAATGAGGTTGGCTAATAGTTTGCAGCAGGAGTGGTGCCTATAGGACTTTGAGGGGGAGATGATGTCTGGTGCCCGTCCCACCGCTCACCATGGCGTGGGGCTGCTTTGTGCTGGCTTCTGTGTGTACTTCTATGCCCAAACCAGCGGCGGAAAGAGCCTGGCTGTTTTGTTCCACTGATAACTGGTGCTGGAAGGCATTCCTTTCCGGGTATTCTTTCCCTTTCTCTTCCCGGCCGGGCTGAATGAGCTGTTTTTCCCTCTGCCTGGCTCTGACCTTCCTGCGTGCTGGGCCCCGGGCTGCTGGGAGCTGCTGCTGGGGAGGAGCGGGCTGGCAGGGCTGTGGGATGTGCAGCGCACGGGAAGCGGCTGCAAGCTGGAGAACCGCCAGCAATGGGTAGTTTTTCCTCTCTTAATTAACAGAAGGAAAACATGGAGCTCTCCTTTTGGAGTGTGTTTTTGCCGTGGAGTAGAGGCGTGCTGCTGATGGCAAGGGGAAGAGCTGTCAGTGAGGACGAGCTCTGCAGCTTGGCAGTACCAGGGAGGTTGTTGCTCTTGGTATGATGCGGAAGCAGCTGAGATTGGAGGTTGGGGTTGGGGTTTTACCTCATCCCAAGTCCTCATCTCAAAAATGGGGTATATAACACCGTGGGGTACCATCAAGCATCAGTGGCAGAGGTCAGTTTGTCTGTGCGGCAGAGCCTGAACTCATGTAGCTGCCTTCACACCATGGTTTCCCTATCGATCTGCCTTGGTGCTGGTCCACGGTGAGCTGGTTTCCCCTGTGCCTGATGTGTTTCTCTGCTGTTTCTTTGCAGGCCAAACCCATTTATGGTGGCTGGCTGCTGCTGGCCCCGGAAGGAACGGACTTTGACAACCCTGTCCATCGCTCCCGGGTAAGCAAAGCTGAGACACCTTCTCCCTGTGCCGCGGGTAGGGATGGCAGGAGGAGCAGTGAGGGCCTGTCCCTGCCCCAGGAGTGCTGCAGGCACCTCAGGCACCCAGCCTCTTGTGCAAACCAGGAAGCTGGGGAAGGTTTCCTGCAGCAGGGTTCAAATGCCTGCTCTGGGATGCAAGGTGTCCCGTGCTGGGCTGCAGGATGGGGCACTGCAGTGCTGGTCAGGCTCAGTCAGTGCAGTTTTACTGCTTGTTGCTGTTGCTTTTTGATGCCTTGGTGATTCCCTGGCTGGCCTGACATGTGCCATAATGATAGGAAGGCTCTCAGGCCAGCAGAGTGTGGGCTGTGAGGCTCTAAGCTGTGCTAGGACCATCAGCAAGGCGCCCAGTTTCTCTTTACAACTACTTTATTTACTACAGCTCACCACGGGCATGCCCAGAGCCCTGGGGAGAGGCTGCATCTCACCCGCTAATGAGGATACCTCAATGTCAGGTCCTGCAGCAGGGAAAGGGCTGAGAGGTTTGCTATAACCCTGTGGAGCTCTGAAGCTGAGTGCATTGGCAGCAGAGACACACAGACAGTGGAGCACACTCAGCTTCTGCCCAAAGGGGGTTGTTTGTGCCTTGCAGAAAGACCATCATGATGTGGGATCAGAGCATCTCCCATTTAGCTGCTCTGGGGGCTGAGAGGCCCAAAGGTATGTGGCCTTTACTCCCAGCCTGTCCCTAAGCTACTCTTGCAGGGAACTTGCTGCTGAGGCCACCAGGACAGGGCTGTCTCGAGCATGGAAGTGATGGCAGTGGCCCCTGAACCCTTTGTCATGCAGCCAAAATGCTCTCAGAGCTGAACTCGGGGTTCTGATTCAGCCTGGGATCTGTGGGTCATGGTTTGCAATCACAGCTGGTAGCAGGCTTGCTGGCCCAACATTAAAGAGACGTGGAACTCTGGTCCCCCCTGCGCAGAGCCTGCCTGTTGTGCTGGGGCTTGTGGAGGTCTGCAGGGTCCTGGGTAGTTCTGCTTGTCCCTGAGCACCTTGGACTTTGCCTGAAGGGCTGAGAAAAGCAAGATAAGAATTGCTGCACTGGGGCTATGAATCTGGGACCTTTTTTCTTTCAGCTTGTTCAACCAGTTTGTGCTCTTGGCTGAAAACAACCTGGCACATAAGGGGAAAAAAAAAGGCAGTTTTCCAGCCAGATCAGTTCTCCAATCTGTTCTGCTGCAGAAGCAGCAGTGCCAGGGGAGGCAGGGCCTGGGTAAAGCCACCCCTGGAGGTGCAGCACTATCCAGATTGAGCTCATGCCCTGCTGGGGGACATCTAATGTGGCAGCCTGTCACCCTGCAGCACTGGGTGGTGGAATAGATGCCACAGGGTGAAGCTGAGGGCTGGGAGCACTTAGTTGAGGATCCTTTTGGGGTACTGCAGGTCTCCTGGAGAGCAGTGCTAGGGCTTGTGAGCATCCTCTGGGAGAGGAGGAGGAGGAGATGCCTGGTTCCAGCCTAGAAGCTGGTGGGTTTTGTTTCCTCTATGGTTAAACCAGGCCAGTTTGGGGTCTGTGTTCTGGTGCTTAGTGGGACCCGAGCATGTCCCCTGTTGTCACAAGTCCCCTGCCACGAAGCAGTTTTGGTGCCTTTTCTCTGCCCCAGCTTTCTGATGTGCAGCTCTGGTGCCCCTGGCAAGGCCCAGGGCTCAGTGGGCCCTGCTGTGACCTTTGTTTTCTTCTCTTGCAGAAATGGCAGCGTCGGTTCTTCATCCTCTACGAGCACGGGCTGCTGCGCTACGCCCTGGACGAGATGGTGAGTGCTGCCATGGAGGAGTGTGGCCATGTTCAGGCCGTGGGCATCAGCCAGGGCCACCTCTCCTGCCCGTGGAGGGGCCTGGGGTGATGCTCATGGCACAGGGCATGGGGAGGTCTCTTCAAACCAGCAGAGAGTTGTGCTTCCTGGGCTTGACTTAAAGCCAGCCTGGGTTTGGATGGAGCTTGTGGATGGTCTGTGGAGGATGGTGGGTTTTGGAGCCCTGTGGCATCCACTTGGCATGGAATTGGGATGCAGTTGCTGACAGATCCCACGCTGGTAGGGAGCATTAGGGGCATCCTCAAGGTTGTCCTGCCTCCTTTCTGCCCTGATCCTTGGTGCCAGCTGGGGTTTGGTGATGGTGAATCACCTTGGCAGTGCCCTGCGTAGAGATGCCCTTGGAAAGTAGGTCAGCTGGAACACCTTCCTGCTGTCTGCTCCGGAGCTGCGGCACGCCACCGGCACTGCTCCCCTCTGTAAACCAGAGCAGGGAGCTGAAAGGAAGGGAACCCCATCTGCTGCAAGCTGCAAAGCAGGACCCATGATCCCAGTGGGATCAACCCTGCCATGAGCACCCAGAGCTGCTGTTTTGTCCTCCTGACTACAACAAACCCATGGGAGGATGCCCTTGTTTGCATGTGCCAGCACACACCACGTGCTGGGATGTGCCTGGGCGGGAGGCTTGGGAAGCCAGGCGTGCTGGGATGTGGGACAGGGACGTGTGGGAACCTGTGTCTGTGGTGGGGAGGTGCCTTGGTCCTCCTCTGATGCCTTTGCGAGGGCACTGTGCGATGGGGCACAGCATAGTGAGCGTTGCTCGAGTTTCATGCCTTGGTGCTTTGTATTTATTCCTCGGGGTTGATCCAAGTGTCCTAAATAGTTGAAATGGCTCGGGAAGGAGCAGTGGAGGCTTTTAATACATTTTTAGTGTCTCAGCAACCTGGTGTCTCATGTCCGATAAGGAGAACTTTGTGTGACTGGTTGGAGCGGGGAGATGCCCAAATTTGAGGTAGAGGTGCAAGGATGGTGGGAAACATAGTTGGTAATATTGCTGCTTTGCATCCTGAGGAGGTTGACCTGCCCCAGGGCAGCAGGAGCAGATGGGTAGTGATCCTGTCCTGTGGCACCACGGGGGATCATTGCTGGAGAGTGCACAAAGGAGAAGGGAAACATCCCGCAGTTTTCCAGGTGCCTCTTGGGCTTTTTCCTCTTGAAAAGGGAAAAAGTGGGAAAACCCAAACAGAAAGGGAGTGTGCATGTGTGCGGTGTGGGTCGGTGTCCTGGGCAGGGGGATGTACCACTCTGCTGGTACCTCTCCATGCTGGACCCCCTCTTGTCTGATGCTGGGTCCCTGCACCCCTCCAGCCTTGTGATACAGCTCAGACCCCGCAGAGCACTGCTGGGATGAGGCACTGGGACTCCCTGTGGCCCTTTGTGGTCCCACTGGAGAAGGGCAGGAGAGCTTGGTCTGGCCTTGTTATACCCATAGATGGAGGAGATGGTCACAGCTCCTTCCTCCTCCTCCTCCTCGGGGTCTGACACAGGGTGTAAAAATACCCTCCTGACCTTTCTGCAGAGCACATCTCTGTGCGGGATCCACGCTGCTGTGTGCACCAGCTCTGTTAAAGGTGTTGCCTGGCCACAGTTGGGCACAGCCTGCCCCAGCCCCTTCCATCCCACGGCACTGGAGCATCCCTGCCACACTGGCTGGGGTGGGAAAAGGGCTGGAGCAGGAGGAAAAGCCTCCGAGCAGGAGGAAACAGAGGGTTTTGTTGCTGCTCAGCCCATGCAGGAGCAGAGCTGGGGTTGGGGCTGGGGAATGCCAGAGACAGGGACCATCTTCTGCATGTGGGAACTTGTCCTGGGGCATGTCCTCTGCTTGACCTTGGGGGAAGTTGTTCTCTGCCAAACCTCCAGGCCCTGATCCCAGCAGGAGGAAAAGCCTCCGAGCAGGAGGAAACAGAGGGTTTTGTTGCTGCTCAGCCCATGCAGGAGCAGAGCTGGGGTTGGGGCTGGGGAATGCCAGAGACAGGGACCATCTTCTGCATGTGGGAACTTGTCCTGGGGCATGTCCTCTGCTTGACCTTGGGGGAAGTTGTTCTCTGCCAAACCTCCAGGCCCTGATCCCTCTGCATCGGGTGCCAGCATGGCTTGGCTGGCAGGACCAGGCAGCCTGGGATGCCCTCACCCTGTCCCCTGTGGCAGGGCCGGGCTCACTCCCTGTGTGCCAGGAGTCAAGCACATTGGCTTCTACCAGGCGGGGCCAGAGCATGGCTCAGAGGGTGCCACAGCTCCGGTGGGTTTGGGCCCCATTGTCACCATCCCACAGCATCAGGCTGAGGTGACTGAGTGTTGATGGTCACTGGAGGGGACTGGTGGCACCCAGGTCAGGCTGCCAGCAAGCGCATCCCTATGGGATGGGGGATGAGGGTCCTGTGGGGGAGTCTGCACAGGGGCAGCCTCCTCAGCGTGGTGGGAGCCAGGCAGCAGTTGGCTGGAGACCTCCCAGGCAGTTGCAGGGATGGGATTGCTGCGCCTTGAACCTTTTAGATGTGAATTCTGTGGGTTTGGCAGTTTCTGCTCTTATTAAAAGCGGGAGGGGTGGACTCAGGAGGGGAGCCCCAGTCCCTTCCAACCCAGACTTAGTCAATTTGGTGTTGGAGTGTTTTGGGCATGGAAATCCTGTAGCAGAAGGTGGGACAAGTGGGCACCAGCCGCTCTGCTGGCACCCACCTTCCTCTTGACGTGTCTGTGAGCTGATCCTGAGTCTGTTCTCCTGCTCAGCCACCTTCTTTGTGTATGTCCATCCATCTGTCCTTTCTCTACCACATTTCCAGTCTGAAAGTTCAGACCGGGTCTGCACGATGGTTGCAATGGGGAGGATGTGCACAGGCTCTGGACCTCCATCCCCTTGGACCCAGACTGAGCTGCCAGATGTGCCCCCCGAGGTCTCCCTCTTTCACTCTGGGTGCTATTACTCCCTGGGAATGCCAAGCAGAGCACATCCCATCCCCTTCCCATCTGCAGGGAGTGTGCCAGGGGCCCTTCCCAGCTCTGCCGAGCCCTGGTTAAGCCGAGCCTGCTCAGACGTGCAGAAATTCCTCCCTCCCAACCACGGCTGGATGCAGATTGTGTGATCACTTGGGGTTGCCTTCCCCTGCTGAGCTGCTGCCACTGCCCCTCCGTGCTGGCTTGTTCCTGCCCTTTGAGAAACCTCATGCAGGGCTGGATGATGCACAGGGGGTTCCACTCCTGCATTGAGTTGAGGGAAGGCAGGGAAGAGGGTGACAGAGTCAGGGATGGGCTTGGGGATGAGCTGATGCGTTGTGAGTGTCTGAGGACGTTTGCCTCCATGTGCTCCCCAGTCCTGTTGCACTTCCTTGTTTTTTTCCAAGAGATATGTTCCCTTATTCCCTGTTCCATGAAGTGTGAGACTAAAGCCTGCCAAAACACATAAGCCAAGCCAAATGCATCCAGAGACTTGTTCTGGAGGTGGAAGAGGCATCCAGAGACCTTTGGTACTTCATATTTGGTACTAAACTTCTCCAGAGTCTTTAGCTTGTGGGGAAACAGCCCTGCCTGGGCTGGGAGAGATCGTGCTGCCACTTCAGGGGATGCAGGGAAATCCCTGCCAGGATGGTGAGCAAAACCTCGGCGCTGGGATGGTTTGGGAGGTTTTGGTTGAGGTATGGGAGCTGCCACAAGTACAGTGCTGGGATGAAGGGATGGAGCAAGTGCAGAGCGTTTGCCTCCCTTTGTTTTGATTGCTGGTCTATACTTAGCGGCCGAGGTCTCTATAAATAGAGCCCTGCTGCGTGGGAACGCAGTGGAGAGGCAGAAGCTGTGCAGGAGGGGTTTGCAGGGATGGAGAGTGGTTGTCCCATCCCTCCCTGGACCTGCGGGTGTGTGGTGCCCTCCCAGATCCAGCCCTGGATGGACAGATCCAGCCCTGTGGCTAGAGCAGGTCAGAAGAGGGTTTGGATCTCTAGCCCAGCTTCTTCATGTCTGTAGGTTCATCTCTGTGCCTCTGTTCACTCCTCTGCCACGTCCCTTGGGCTGGGATTTACACAAGGATGGCATTTGTGCCCTGCAGGAGCTGCATCCTTCCTGGAGGTGTTCTCCCATCACACCAGGCCTGCCTGGGACTCTGTTTCTCTTTTCCTTTGTGGCTGTGTTGGTTTGAAAGCAAGACAAAACTCAGGCTCACTGGGAAGCATCTCAGACTTATTGCTGTTGTGGATAACTAACAGCAAGGTGAGAGCATCTTGTGGATGGGCTTTCTCAGCTCCCCAGCAGGAGGTCAGGAGGAGCATCCCTGTACACTGTGTGTCTTTATCCCAACAAACTGGCCTTGCTCCATGTCTGGCACCTTCTAGTGTGGCAGGGTGTAGTGTGAGCATGGGCTGTGAGCCCTGCTTCTACCATACCCCTTATTTGCTGGAGTAAAATGGCTTTCTAGAATAGGGGGTGTATTAAGACTTTTGTTTCTAAGAGGATGCTTAAACCAGTAGTCAGCCACCTCCATGCCAGAGTTTGCTCATGCATATGGGATTGGGTGGTTGCATCCTCTGCAGAGACCCTGGTCTTGCAGCACCCTAGTCCTGCTCTTAATACAGGAACTCACACAGATGCTAATAGCATTAACTCCACGATGGGGTGGACATCCCTGCTCCAGCCTGGGATGGCTGGGAGGGAGGTGAGGAGGGAGCTGGAAGCTGATGGAACTGGGGTGGGATGAAGAGCGAGACCAGATGGCATCTGGCAATGGTTAGGGGAGCACCAGGACCCCTGGGCCGGGTGTATAAACAGGAGAAGAGAGGCCAGCTCAGAGCTGGGAGGTCTGGCACTGCACAGGGGGCTGCAGGGTCACATCTGGAACCCTGCACAGCCCCAAGCCCTGCTCCTGGCCGTGGAAACCTACGGAGTTGATAAATGGGTGAATAGAGAACGGTGTAAAGCATCAGTGGCTGCCTGGGGGGGGATCAGGGGGAGGGCAGGAT